GCCCACCCCTCCGCCGGGCCGACCCCGGGGGCAGTCGGCTGGCTGCAGAGGGAGACGGAGGCGAGCGAGCGAGCGAGCGAGAGCGGCGCCGGGAGCGGGCTGCGGGCAGCCGGGGAAGGCAAACTTTGCTGCTTGCTGCGCTTCCCCGGCCCGGCTCCTTCTCCGTTCCTTAACGTAGCCGTCCTCCCCCGACCCCGCACGCGTCCACCCACCCAGCAAGCCGCCCCCAGATCCTCCTCGCCGCCTGGACTCCGCTCCGGGGAAAACTTCAAAGCTCCGGATCGCAGGCTCCCTGCCTACTTCCCGACTGGGGATTTCAGGTCAGTGCCCAGAACACCTTTCCCCGGGGAGGCCGCGGGCGGGCTGGCGCACCGGGGACTGCAGCCGACCCCGTCCCTCGGGACTCCCACCCTCGGAGGGTTTCTCCTCCGACTCCGGTAGACCCCCGTCGGGAGGTTTAGCTACCTTGCTCGCTTTCGTTTTTACATCAGAACTGTAAGTTATTAAAAATGCAGCCAACCTAAGCGGCCCCCGCGTGGGCACCAGGCGGGGGAGGGACTCGACGGGGGACCAGCCGTCTCCCGAGGGGGCTCGGAGGACGGGGAGTTCAGCGAGTGGAAGTTTGCAGCCTCCGTGTGTCTGCGCGGGAGCGCGGTCGTCGCCGAGCGTCGGGAGTCAGGCGCGGGGTGGGGGTTGGCGGGGGGAGTGCTGGGCTGGAAGCTGGGAAGCTCGGCTCGGCGGCGTTACCTCGCTAGCAGGAAGGGGAGGCGGCGGGTTCCCGTCTGCTTTCTTTTTCGACTCGGAAAAGAACTGTAAAAACCCCCAGCCGCCGCCGCCGCCGCCGCCGCCGCCGCTTCGTCTGGCCTCTCCAGGGGCCGGTGGTGCCTCCGAGTGGAACGACGGCTTGTGCGTGCGCTAGTGTGTGCGGCGGGCGCCTCGGACCGAGCCGAGCTCTACCTGCCGTCGTCGCGCAACTCCGGAGGGGAGTCCCCGGTTTTTTTTTTTTTTTTTTTTTTTAAACGTTTTTTTTTTTTTTTTTTTTTTTTTTTTTTTTTTTTTTTTTTTTTTTTTTTTTCTTGGCTTGCCCCAAGGCGTGAATCACGTGGATTTAGGAGGAAAAAAAAAAAAAACTACTAGGAATCCATGGAGAGCCGGAGATTCGGACTGGGCCAGTCCGCGGGCCTGCCAGGTCAGCTGCTTTGTTTTGTAAATGTTCTTTTAAGATTCTAAATTCGACCCCCTCCCATCATCTCCCTTTGGGAGACGTCCTTGGGGTAGGTTCTAAGTTCTGAGCCCTCCGGAGCCGGTTTGGACTGCTTGTGTGGGAGCAGGCACGGGGCGGGGGAGCGAGCAGAGCCCCCAGCCCTCTGATGGGCAGTGGGGAGCCCGGTGGGAGCCCTGATGGGCGTGTGAAAGTCTGCGGCCGGAGGAAGTTGGTCCCACTCGGAGGGCGGGCGACGCGGAGGCTCGGGGCGAAGAGGAACTTGCGCACCGGGCGCGATCCTCGGCCGAGGCGGGGAGGGCGAGGCGGCACGGGGCCAGCGCTTGGAGCAGGCGGGAGGCTGCGCTGCAGAGCCACCACCACCAACCCGGGGGCTCAGGGCGGTGGCGAAGAGCGCCCGCTGTTTACGAAGAGAGCCTAGGAGCGCCCTGTTCTGGGGCGGCTAGTGGCACGTGTAGTCCCGGCGGACTTCTGGCTGCCCGGTTGCTCCCGGGAACACGTACCCATGTCCCGACGACGACCGAGCTTGTCCGCTTTTAAGCCGAGGCCGAGCGAGGCTTAATTTGCTGCTAATGAATCTTTTCCAGAAGTCCGCGACCTCCAGCTAGACGTTGTGAGTGCCCGCGCGCGAAGGCGCGCGCCGCCGGCGTCTGGAGGGTGGGGGTTGGGGGAATGGGAAAGCGAAGAAGGAACTGGAGGAGGGTTATGTTTATTTAAAAACAAACCTCAAAAAGAAACCAGCGCTCTTCAAATAGGTATTCGTACTGCCTGGTTGCGTCTAGACTAGACAGTCCGGGGTTTAACTGTGTAACCCCCTCCTCGCGCACCCTTATTGAGAGAAGGCTAGGAGAGGAGTACTGCTATTTGGTTCTAAGGTTAGTCCCCTGGGCGAAAAAAAATATTCTTAAAAATGGACCGGGAGTTTAAGAAAAAAAAAACAAAAAACAAAAAAACGAGGAAATAGCCCACCCCAGAAGGTGGTGGGTGGTGAGTAGACAGACTTGGGTATTTCTAGCCATCTGACACTTCCTGTGGCATTGGAAATGGACACCACCGGGAGAGATCGACCTGTACAAGGTGCTGGATTCGGTTTTACCAACAGAATTGCTTGTGTGGAAGGTATTTGAATTGTCGACCTCGGAGACGTTTGTATGTGGACACTTGGGAAATACTCGCTTCTCGGCCCTTCCCGCTCCATCCCGGACTTGTTACCTAGTCTGGGTTGCAGTGTTGGCTCTGGTGTTTATTTTGGGTTGGATTGTGTCGCGTAGAACTACGCGGAGGGGTGATGATTGATATGCCGTCCAGGTTTAATCTGAGGCTGGCCTTCAGTGCTAGAGTGTACGCTACGTACAGGAATTGCCTGCGGTTAGGGGATCACGCGGGGCTCGGTCACCAGGCGTTGGGCGGGTAGGTCTGGACTGGGGCTCGATCAGCGCTGTCCTTTGAGGCGCTGTCACCAGTAGGTGACTGAGAGTTAATTAGGAAGTGTTCTCTGGATCAATGGGCCGCACAGCTCATTAGCGATTCTCTCCAGCCCTTTGCAGGGCCGGCCTGGCCTCCGCCTCCCACACAGCCCGGGCCCCCGCGGTCCGGGCTGCGGAGAGTGCCGCTGGGAAGTGGGGAGGGGTGGTCAGCGAGGGACAGCTGGCGGGCCAATATAACTTCGCAGGGCGGCGCGTTGCGTGCGGCGCCGCGAGGTCCACACAGCCCGCTCTTTCTTCCTGCTCGCGGTCGCCTCCACTGTGTCTTTAACTCGCTTTAGCTGGCTTTGCTGCCTGGCTGCTCCTCCCCGCCTCCCTCGCCTATCTCTTGTTCTTTAAGCACGACGCCTGTGCTCCCCGCCCAGTTTGGGATTAGACAAGATAAAAATAGGACTGCCCAGCGCGCAGAGCTGTGACTGTGCCCGGGTAGCCGGGCTGGTGCGAACGCAGTGGGTAGGGTCTGGGGAAGACTAGCAGGGCGCTCGGGGCGGCCTGATTCTTATTGGACCCTCACCCGCTAGCCCGCAGGCGCCGTCACGCTCGCTGGACTCCGTCCGCTGTGAACCGTGCGGGCCAGGGGGACCTGAACGGGGTCTCCGCGCTCTCGCGGGTGTTGTTGGTGTGCGGGTGATAGATCGGTCTAGACAGGCATGCAGACTCCCTCCCGGCTGAAGGACGGGGGAGGGGGCCGGCCGTGGAGATGGCAGCAGACTCCCGAGAGCGGCGAGCGAGCAAGCTAAAGCTAGCCTGCGGGGGCCCAGCAAGCCGGGTAGAAGGCAGGTTGCGGGGGTTTCTCTTAACCCTTTAAGTGCGGTAAAGAGTTTGATGGGGGAAGAGTGACGAGTCTAGTAGAAGTGACTGGAAGTCGGGTGGTCCGCAGGGGTGTGGGCCTTGAGGTCTAGACCTACTACTGTTTTCTCTTCTGTGTGTGCATCCGCGATTCTTTCACAAATCGGATGCAGCGGCTAGACAGTAACTAGCTTAACCCGGGACTCCTCGGGGGAGCTGTGAACACAAAATGGGCACCCTCGCTTAAGGATCTGAGTTGAGAGCAGGCTATGAAAACCTGGTTCCTAGAGGAACTGGCGTGTGTAGGGGAGACCCGAAGTGAGAGAAGGTAGTTGGGCAAAGGCTCTGACCCAGCCAGGCTGCTGCCTATTAAAGGCCCTGAGCCTGAAATGCCAGGCCAGTAAGGACAGTATGTATGCATTGGAGGGAGAACACAGCATTCCGTGAGCTGTCCATATATAAACACGTAACCATGAACTTGTGAACAGTTATAATCAGACATGTACAGGGAGACGACCTAAATAGGAGATGGTCTGGACACTTTAACAAATCCATCATTTGTGTATCAAAGGTCTAAAACTTAATACGACTCAGCATACATTAATTTAGTTCTTTCCAGGGCTGGATATTGATGGGTGTGTCCCCCTATGGATAATTAACTTATTCCCTCCCGTCTTTTCCTCTTAAAGATTTGTGGTCTAAGGCCCCTCTATTTACATTTAAACTGCAAAGCCATGCTGGTCTGGCCCGGAAATGAACTGCTTTACAGGGATAGCCAAAGAAGCCAAGTAGTAGGGAGGAATGCTCAGATTAAGATGTACCCCAGAATGATGTGTGCTGGGACAGACCTAGACACTTTGCTTCCTATGTCCTAATGGAACAAGAGATAAAGAACTGACCTAGAGGAATATAAACATGGCTGTGCAAATGCAGAAATGTATAGTGGTACTCTAAAAGAAAAACTATAGACGTTGTGAAGCTGGAAATTGGGGCAGAATTTCCGTGTTGCAAAGACAAAAAAATCAATTTAAAGATGTGAAGACGGTCACTTGGAAAAAAGCACAAAAGGCACGCGTATGCATGCATACCTGTGCTTAGATACAGGGGCCCAGTTACTAAGAGCAGCCCTTTGCCTTGAGGAAGACTTCTCGCCTAGTGAGATTGATTGAAAGTAAAAACGGGGGCAACTCCATTGACACATTCTCAGGGCAATAATGTGTTTGGGCAGGAGAAAATGGTAAAGCAGCTCCCGAATTGGTGATGGCCCTTGTTTAGGATGACTTCTAGTTCTTGCCCTTACTGACCAGGTAGCAGGATTTCTAAAGAGGATGAGAGTTCTTGACCTTGGGTGGCTGGAAAGTGAAGGAAAAAGCAGTAGCTCTCTACTTTGTGGTGGGGAGAAAGATGTGAGACTGTGGTAAAGTCTTGTTGGCGAAGGTGGTGTTGGGCTTGAACTGAGAAAGAATCCAAAGAAGCGTGCCCTCTGGGAGAAATAAAGGAGCGAGTGGTATGCTTTCATTATATTTTTCCTCCCCGCTGGAGGAGACCATGCCTGGGACGACCTGTGCTGGGTACATTAGCAGGCGCCTCAGTGACCCCAGAAGGGCATGTAAACTCCTGCTAGGGCTTAGTTTGCTCGGGGCACCGATTTGCCTCCCTCCCTCTTTGTTTAAGCGCAGTCAGGAATTCCAGTTTTTATTGGGAAGATCACACTTGGGTGGAGACCAGGCCAGGCGGGGCAGGGCTGGGCTGTGCAGGCCGGCAGCCTTCAGAAAGGCCCGAGTGCTGCCCCAACCTTACCACAGTTCGCAAGAGCAACCAGCAGCCCTTACTTAACAATGCCTCCCTAGTTTCCTGGAGGAGCCTTCATCCAGACACCTAGCCAGGCAGGCTGGGGAATCTCATGGGCCATCCTCAAGGCTGCATCCCACCGCTTTTCTGAAAGGAGCTAGGAAGGCCCTTTGTTTAGGGGTGTCCTGAAAGTCACTGAAGAGTGTAAATGCAGTGTTTTTTGCCGAGGAGTCTCTTGGAACAGTCTGGATCCGGTCTAGTGGGGGCCTCTCGCAGATTTAGGAAGACTTTGGCTGGCCACCGTCGGAGGAATTTGGTCAGTGTTGATGGCCAATGGGATTCCATCTTTTTGCGGAGATGGCCTCCCTGCTGAGAGGCTTAGGTGGTGGAGCTGAGAAACCCAGGAGAGCTGTAGTGTAAGACCTCTGTCCACCCCATTTATCTTGAGCACTTGTCCCAAGGTGTGCACTGGCCACTTCCCCAACTGCTCCCCAAATTCAGAAGGGACATCTGACATTTTGCGGGGTAGTATTTAATGGTGCTCTTATGGGGGTTGGTTCTGAAGGTTCCCATTCTGGGCTCAAGCTCAGTTCTGTGTTTTCTCAATCTAGATTCTTGTGGTGTGTCCCCACTTATTTTTTCCGGAGCCTGAGTATTGCTAGCCAGCACCCACAGGCTGGGTTCCCCACGATTAGACAAATGGAGAAGTCCACTCCGAGAAGATCCTGACAGCATAAAATATAATTTGTGATCTAAAAGACAGTTTCCAGTATAATCTCATTATGCACCGCAGACTCCCGTGTTATTTTGTGGAAGGCGGACAATGATCAATTTACATTGACCCGGGGCTGGGTGAGCTTTTAGATGGTAATTGCCATATTGATTTGCATGCAAAAAGGAGACCTGCTAAAATTAAAGACCGGAAGCTAAATTAAACTAAATTTATTGTCTAGGTGCAAACCAGGGGAACTGTTGGGGGAGGGAGGTGAGTCAGGGTAGGTTGCCGGGGCAGAGCAGGTAAGAGGCTCTCGGAGCTTGGGGGCCAGTTTACAGCTGTCCCGGATATCTTTGCCTTGTGATTTCAGAATGTGGAAAGGGAGTCGCGTTTAGGGGAAAAGTTATAAAAAGGTACAATTGCAGTGAAGGCTCCAGGTCTTTTAATGCTAACGGTAACTATAAGGCAGGGGGAAGGTTTATAGGGTTATAGGGGGTCTTCCTGCACCATTTCCGGCACTCCCACCTCCCATTTCTATTGTTCTGGCTCTGTCGGGCCTTTGCTGTGGTGCCAGGGACACCAAAATCTGGAGAGAGTGAGAGAGAGAGAGAGAGAGAGAGAGAGAGAGAAGTGGGGGAAAGGCAGCCCTTTCCCCTTCCCGCCTTGCACCTTCCTTCCCCTCCCCCTCTGGAGCGGTAGACCGTGTGGGTGTGAATGTGTTAGGGGCTCAGCACGCCCTCCGCCGCCCTCCACCTACACAAGGCCCGTGGGTCCGCACCCCGTGGGTCCGCAGCGATAGGACTGTGGACAGTTGTCTCACGAAGGAAACCATGG